ATGCTGGACGCGCTGAGAATATCCTTCCTACATTTGGGTTTTTTATACGACCATCTAGAAATATGCCGGTGTCTGATGCCAACTTCTGAGATTTTTGTCAATCTAAAACACATGTATGATTATCATGTATGCATGGAATAAAAGCATTTACCTTGAGACAATGCAACTTGAGTTGATAATTACCCAACTCTTGCGAGTTCCACTATTGAACTATTTAAGGTCACAGCAAAGGACGTAAATGTCGGTCTCGCCAGGTTAACCTGTAAATGTTTTATATCGATGTGTTAGTTACTCTATTTGTACATTTAAATACATTGTATGAAGCATAATTCAATTACTTCCATAAGCTCACAAATCTCACGATTGTCGTAATCTTTATCAATAATCGGATAAGCAATAGCTGGATGAGTATGGTAGGCAAAACCTTCATGTTAATATGAAAAAATCAAAATTAATAGTATAATTATATAGAAAAATTTTTTTTCATGACATATCAATCAAACCTCCTTTTTTCACAAGTTGCATCCCGTTATCGGGATTCATGTACCAGTCAGCTGGTGCCAATTTAGACCAATAATTTTCGTAGAACATTCTAGTGTCCCAGTCAGGTTTCTGCAATTTTACAAATATGTGCGTTATTATATTCACACAAAAATCTGGCTCAATTGATGAAGTAACTTACTTTGAGAAAAAACTCTAAATAAACCATTGCTTCCGAAGCCATTTTCAGATTTATTTGACCTAATTGGTTCAACGAGTCGTTGATCTTGAAAATCGGCTCGTCCAGTCGAGCAGAGACTATTGAAGCTGAATAATAATTATAAAGCAGGTACGAAAACACCAAGATAGTCATGAAAGCCATTCGAGTCGATGCTTGATCCATTCGTACGTCGGTACCTGAGATAAATGCATTCAACTTTTTTTGTTGCAAAGACGTAGGTTTTGAGTAACTGATAAAATAACCTTGTTGACAAATCGATCCAATTGTAATGAGGATTGAATTTGAATATATTTCTAAACTACTGTTGAATTTTTCTTTGTGTAGAACAAGAACCAACACCGCAATGATGGAAATAAAAAATAATATGGTCAAGCACCATATGTCGTTGGTAAAAGGTCGTAGGATTTCTTGAATTTTAATATTTGTTGGTTGAGGATTTCGAAATATAAAACAAGTCCTTAAAAATTATAGCAACTCATCATGTATAAAGTAAATAAAATATTTTCATGTACTCTTTGGATCTGTTTAAGTAAAAATAAAGCCACTCGTAGTTTACAAAAAAATTTTTTTCATTTGAATAAGTTTATAGTGTTAATAGTGGAATTTTTACGTTTCAAGAATTTTTTTACTTAAAAATCTAGAATGACACTGTTTTTACTTTAACTGATCATCAACGAAGTGTTATCACCGAAACGGCCATTTTTAGAAACAAATCAACGTCTTTTTTTTTTACTGCTCAAGAGGTGTACCCTCGAGTTTTACGTTTTCTATTCGTAGTTGTGTATTTTTCAGTGTGTCAAGTGACAAAAAAAAAAAAAAAAAAATTACTCCCCGATCTAGCAACCACAGCGATTTCACTAAATATATTGACGAAAAAAAAAAGGCATCTTTATCAGCATGAATAAGTCGTCACAGGAGGTTATGTTTGCAATGCGTGTTATGCACGTACCGATCTCTCGCGCTCTCGCGAATCTTCAAATGAAAAAAGCACACCGAAACGCTCGTCAGCGATACTTTTTCCCCACCGTCGAATAATATAACGTACAAACGAACGAGCTCCGACTCTCGTTATCTGTGCACGAGTGGTTTTTATTAATACAATGCGTCGCTAGTGTTTATCGCGAGAAACAGCTGTTGCAAAAATATTCAAACGGTATATTGATCCCCAATCGAATCGGCAATCGATGAACGATCGTCTACCCCGAGGTATATATATATATGTGTGTTTTCAGACACGTGTGAAAATCCACAAGCACATTGGTGTACCAGATTTATCACTCCATGAAACCCAACCTTCACTCACACTTTGTGTCCGTACCATCGAATCCCCTGTACCGATCCGATCGGTTCGTCAAAAAACTTGCACGCCGCGCGTATATGTCATTGCGCCCACGAGTGAACTTTCACTTAAAAAAAAAAAAAAAAACCGAGAGCGAGACGTATACACGAAGAGATAAGAAGAAGAAGAAGCGTACACGCGCGCAACAGGTGTCGATACTTGGCTGTGCGAAAACAAAACGCGTACGTATATGTATAATAATACACGGTACCTGGCGGTGTCGGGCGCGCGGCTTTTGAGCTCGTAGTACATGAACTCTTGGCTCGCGGGTATGAGCGCCAGCGCCCGCTCGAGGTCGTCGCTGTACTCGAGCTCCAGTACTGCATCGTCGTCCTTGTCCCGTGCACCGGTCGGAGGAAACGCCAGGTCGAAGCCCATGTCGATCCCCGACTCGTCCATTATTCCCTACTTTCGCACCTTCGATTCCGCGCACTCGACTTTTCCTCTTCTCTCTCCTTTTTTTTTTTTTTTTCTCGAGACACTCGGTTTTAATTTTCTCAATTTTCTTGTATCACAACACAAAAAACTATCGTTACACAAAAAGCACTGATTTCATATGTAAAAAAAAAACACAGTCAACTAGGATAAGGAGGAGTAGGCGGCGAGCTAGCCGGGTACTCGCGCGCGGCCTACTTTCCGCGGGAGCCGAGCGACAGATCGGTATACCACTCGTGTATATACGGGGCAGCGCGAGCAGCGCTCGTATCATCACTGTCAACACACGCGGTGTGTGTTGTATATAGTCGCGATCTGCGACGGTGCGGCTTCCCCGGGGAAACAGCTGTGGGAGTCGAGATGAGCCAACGGTCCACGTAGCATGGCGCGCACCGGCCGATGAGAGCGAGCGTGCAAGTGTATATAGACACGAGGAAAAGGAGAAAAAGTTGATTGTACGTAATATATACTTAAGCGTGCATATATAAGCGCTTCGGATGAGCCTCTGCACGGTCAAGTGGGCGGCATCTTGCGGGGAGACCGAGAGTTGGAATCGCGAGGCTGGTTTGGATTTTTTTCTTTAGCCTTGCGTCGCTGTGCGCGAAAGCTGCTGATGATGCACTAATTTTTTTTTTTTCTTCTCGAGTGATGTTCTTTTATTTGGAAGGACATTTTTGGGACGTAGAGCGTCACGCAAGTGGTGTTGGTCTACTGTGGACCTGCACGATAAAAAAAAAAAGAGAAGGGCTCGCCTAGGACTCAAGTAGAAACATACATGTTTGGTCAGACGTGTATTATTTTGACGCGCATCATGAATCGCGTATTTATTCGTGCATCGGTATGAATGACTATTATAAATCAGTTTACAAAATGCATTTCATCCCATGCGCGAGTAAATGAACAAAACTCAGATTTCTCATATTTTTTTTCAATCGTATCGCCTACTGCCATGTGACCTGATTTAAGCTGTTTCAGCGAGCATGCAGTGGTACACGAAAAAAAGGCCCAATCGTGCACAAAAATATAAAACAAACGCGTTGCCATGATCAATCAACCAATGAAAAGCACAATTCACAAAAAAAACGCCACCAACATAATTTCCACGACTACAATCCAAATCAACAACGCGCAACGATTCCCAGCAACGCTTGCACCATCGGTGCATTCCAATCCTCCGCGCGATGAGCAAAATAAACAAAAAAACAAATCTTCACCAATTAGCAAACCGCTCACGATAGGGGCTTATCGTTCGGCACGCGTAATCCTACTTTGGGCAGCTCTAGTGCACATGCATCGATTGCCTGGGGTCGTGTCCTTAGCGAGAAATCGATTGGAGGTAATCGGTTTCAAGCAGCACACAATGGAGCTGAGTCTCGCGATTTTTCATACCGATCTCTTCCGCGAAAAGTGGGTGCTCGAAATTTCCCGAAACTCCCGAAAAGCGAGCTCAGCTCCGAAAAGAAAAAACAGTCGGCTCGCGCCAGTCGATCTCAGCGATCCCACCGATCGAAAAGTGCCGTCCGAACGATGATCCGTGCGATCGGTGCTGTCTTTCTTGTCCTCGCTGGTGTCGGTGCCGAGGCTCATCCGCAGATACGTCAGCCGAGCGTCGTGTTCAACGAGCTCTGGTTCAACTACAAGGTAACGCATTGGCCCCTCGACGGAGATCGTTTGTGGTGTGTTACCGATTTTCACGATCCCCGAATCTCTTGCAGATAAGCAACAACAAAACGTACATCTACCGCGAGGAGAGGTCGCGCCGGATCACATGGGAGAATCACATGTACGTTATTTACTGGCACAATGTCAAGTACGCCGCGGGACACTACACCTTCACTTTGTACTTGAACGCGTTGGCCGATCTCACCTCGCGCCAGTATCTTGATAGAGTGGTACGTGTACGCTTGTCTTTACTCGGTGGGCTATGTTTTCCATCTCCTTCGCCCACCCCCTTTTTTTTAATATGGAAAATTTTTGATTAATGAAAATTTTTAGAAACAAATCAACGTCAATAATTACACTAGCTCTACTTGATTGGTTTTTTTCTGAAACGACTGACACAAGACCAGTTTTTTCCACTACTGCTTACAATACAAAATGTTAAAAAAAAGATTTTACAAAAAGTAGTAATAAGTTAAATTTTTTTCTTCTCTTTCAAAGTAAACTACAAAAAGTTTTTTTTTTCAAAATTATTGCTTTTTTCCTTTTTTAATTAATAATGGAGCTGATTGAGTACTCAATTTTAGATCGATTTTGTCGTTACAAACGTTGCTGCCATACATTTCATTTGGGTTTTACACAGCGGATGAAACCGTGTATACTTAGAGATTTCCTGCGGATATCCGTATACCTCTACTTGAGAAACGCCTTTTCCTTCGATCAAAGCGAGTCGAAAGTACATAAGACCACTTTTTTTAAAAAAAGGGGGGGGTTAAGGGGGAAAGCAGCAATTATTGGCCGGCAGGGTTAATCCTTTGCGAAAGTCGAAATTGATAAAAAGAAGAAGGAGAAACGGCACGTGCGAGGGAGTAAGATCCATCGGGGGCACGTGACGCGGGAGCTTCATTACGGCCGATCGCGGGGGTGAAACTTTTTCCCGGCTCCGCGGGATTTGCGAGGGATTTGCGCCTCTTACTCTACCCGCGTTTCTTTTTTTTTTTCTTTTTTTTTTCTTCCTCAATATCGGCACTTTTAGAGACACGTAGAGGAAATTTCCTCCGATCGGAGATACACCCCATCCCTCTCTCGACCGATCTAAAGAGAAAAAAAGGGGGGAAAAAAAAAAAAATAATTCAACCATCACCCAGGTGAGACTGAAAGCTAGCCGAAACCGACGACTGGAGGACAACGAGATAGTAGCTCTGGTGCACCGGCAAGGGTCCACCTGCGTCCCGAAATCCCTGGACTGGCGCGAGCGGGGCTTCGTGACGGAGCCGGAGAACCAGCTCGATTGTGGGAGCTGCTACGCGTACAGCATCGCGGGCACCATATCTGGCCAATTGTTCAGGCGCACCGGGGTGGTGACTGACCTGAGCGAGCAGCAGCTCGTTGATTGCAGTGCGCAGTCGGGTAACCTTGGCTGCTTGGGTGGCTCGCTGAGGAATACTCTCAGGTATCTCGAGAAGGCCAAGGGCATCATGGCGGACGAGAATTACCCGTACGTGGCTAAGGTGGGCAAATTTTACGTGGACAAAGTACATATGTAAGGTCATGGTTGAGTTTAATAAACTGAGGGTCACAATCGTACTAGTCATATAAACAGTAGTTAATTTTTTTTTTTTTTTTTTTAAATCCGTACACGGTTGTTTTAGTTGTTGTTTAAAAAATAACTTTTTAGAATTAAAAAAATATTTACTAGAATAGTTTCGAGTACATATGCTCTTCAAACAAAGTAATTTTTTCATATAAAAAATGATTTTTTTGTTTGAAATTAATATTTCAAATTAAAGTAAGAAAATATAGTCTTATTTCAAAAGATTATGTCGTAGTGGGCGGTTTATAGTGGGTTTTTTCTTAAATCCTCATTTTTTTTTTTTTTCATGGTGGTTGAGAATGAAAGTTCCGGGTATTCAGAGTTTTTTTAAATTTTAACTCAATGATGGCAAGATGCAGTTGAATTAATATATTGTGAAACAGTCCAATATTCGATAACACGCTCGTATTGTGATAATTTTATGAGAAAATCTCAAATGTACTTATTTAATCATTACAAAATCGTAAACTTGTATTGAATTTCAATCATATCGTGTGAACAATCGTATGGGGTTTATGGTTCCAGTTCGTGAACGTGTTCATCACAATCACTTATAAAAAGTACAATTTTTTTTGTCTCATCAAAAATCAAAACTTATAAATACTTATAGATACTTATAAAAAGTGTATATCCTTTACTAAAAAATACTATTATTTTAAAAGTCTTTATTACCAATTTACATTATGCGGGCGTGTTTTAAATTACACCTGTTCGCGAGTAAATTGTTAAGACAACTTGATGAAAATAACGCGAGGTAACCATGAGAGATGTGCAGCAAACATTGTTTACTACTTCACAGACACACATGAGTTGTCGCGGACTCTATTTTTTTCTCCGTCTCCATAGTGATTGTCTCATTTTTTTATTTCCTACGTTTAATCCAAATCTCTTTATCGCAGTTTCGCCTGAATTTACAACCTCCGCAAATCCGATTAACGCGCATTAAGCGCTTGCTACACCTTTTTCCCTTTCCACTTCTACTTTCTGTGCGTCATTTCTCTTTGTTAACAACACAAAATTTTTTTTTTGTTTTTCACCATTTGCATACCATTTTTATGTATTTACTTATTTATTTATTCACCACATAATGAACATAAATATAATAATCAGCTTACTTTTGTAAGATTTCTCATTTTATCCATGGAATTCTCATCAATGGAGAATCAAAATTAAAACCGAAATTGTTTGTGCAAACAACAAACTTCATTTCTGATAAAAAAAAAAAAATCCTTCCGTTGAATAATATTAACAACACAAATACTCCTAAACAGTACAATTACTTTTTTTTTTCAAATAAATTTTCAATCCTTGGTGTCCAAGAGTACTCCCAAAAAAGTAAAAAAACTCTGTTGCATCAACGGACAGAGAAGACCAGCTCGCGAGGTGTGACATCGATCACCAAGGCGCGGTAAAATTAATAACACGTTTTGTGCCGAGTAATCGTCCACCCGCGCTTTCGTCGGATTCCGAGAACACCTGTGTAATATTTGTCGCCATCGACACACCAGTGTTGACATTTTCTGGACGAGCGTGATATCGTATACATAACATTGTTTCGTATAAAAAAAAAGGATAAATAAATGAGTTAAGTCAAATTTATGGTTATACATCCAAAGGCAGGTGACTGCAAGTACCAAGAGAGGCTAAGCGTGGCGAACATCACCTCGTGGACCATACTCCCGGCTCGCGACGAGAGAGCACTCGAAGCTGCAGTGGCGACGATCGGCCCGATCGCCGCGTCCGTGAACGCGAGTCCAAAGACCTTCCAGCTTTACCAGTGAGTTAAATATTGCGGACGATTTTGAATATGCGTTTTTTTTTTTTTTTTTTTTTTTTTTTTACCTCCCACTTTGAAAACAGCTCCGGCGTCTACGACGATCCAGCGTGCACGTCGGACAAGGTCAACCACGCGATGCTGATAGTCGGTTACACGAAAAACGCTTGGATACTGAAGAACTGGTGGGGTACGGGCTGGGGCGAGGATGGCTACATGCGCTTGCGGAAGGGCAAGAATCGCTGTGGCATCGCCAATTACGCGGGCTACGCGAAAATTTGATCCGGACTTGGTTCTTTTTTTTTCACCCTTTCTGTGTACATATCGTCCTTTGTTTTTGATTTTTTTACCCGATGTCCTTCCTTTTTTTGTACGAATAAACGCTTTTTTGGCAATAAAAAGGCTTATTTCCATCATTTTTTTGTACTGGTCATACAATTTTCAAGTGCACATAAAAGAAAATGAGAGCTCGATGTTCCTTTTGATCCTTGGAAACAACTAAAACTTGTGTTACACGTTTACGTAGTTATCGGATATTGCAGTCAAGAATTTCTTTCGGTTTCTTGGCTAATATTAATTGAATTTTGAAATGGTTGTATTTTTTTTTCATTTGACAAACTTTCAGTTCATAACTCGTATGATTACCCTGCAGAAGCTTAATCACCAAAAAAAGTCCTCAATTACAATTTTGTACATCCCTGACACTGTACAATCCCTCCGAGATTCTTCCAACACGCTTATTTTTGCACCGAGAACAAGATTCTGACGGAGTTCTCAAAAAATCTGCAAAGATGTCAGCATTAGCCGAGCAAAACGATCCCAATTTTTACCACCCCTACCAAGGGACACGCCAGAGGGAGCCACTCTCTTGGGCGGTAACCGCGACCTGATTATTCAAATAGCCCGACAACCCGGCCCGCTCATTTCGATTCAGTTCTATTGGCAGCATCGCCTATAGCAGCCGTGATGCGTACCTACACCCTGTACTTATATTATACATCTCCTGGATCACAATAGCGACCCCCCCCCCCCTCCGAGGACGCCGATGGGACAATCGGCGACATAGCGACGTGCGCGCTTGGCGCGTTCAATGCGGGGTAATCTCAAAAGTGCCGTCTTTTCGAACGGGGAGACATCGAGCCGTCGACGCTCCGAGGAAAACCGAAACAATGCGCGCCAGAGTGAATGCGAGGGTTTAGGGAGGAGGGGGGGGGCAGCACAGCTGATTGAGATTTCATAGAGGGCGCTACGTGCGATAATCGCTATAAGCTCGTACACAGAGCGGGTTCTCGGGAATTCCATCGCGGATTCTATTGTGCGAAGGCGCGCCTCTTCAACGCTGTTACCCGATAATTAGGTCGATTGTCCTCGACGACTGGGAAATCGGAGCGAGTGTGTGTTTGATATCGGGAGGATTTCGAGCCTTGGCTGATGGGTGTTGTTTTTTTTTTTTCCTCGGAAGGACTTGGGAAATTGAAATTCATCGGCGCAAGCTTCGATGATCGCGGGAGAGAGTCGGGGTGTTGGAAAAACTGATGTAAAGAAAGCCTTGAAAGAGATAAATTAATTTTGCGTCGTGTGTACCTGCAGTACAACAAACTTTATTGCGTTGGGTCGAACTGAGTATCTTACAGAGAATAAAATAATGGATTTATAGAGTTTTTGCCAAATTAATAGTGGATATGTCAGTTTTAAGCGTAAATCTAAAAAAATTAAAGGAAACTATCAGGAAGTATTTATAAAATTAATCTACACCAATGTGTTAAATTGGAGTTAGGGTTGATGGACAAAACTGCTCAGAAAATGCCGTTTTTAATACAGTAGCCTATTATACAGAGAACCGGGAATTTTTTTGTTAATAGCAATTAAAATAGCACTGTAGTGTTGTGAGCAGTAACCAAAATAGCAGTATAAATGAGCAGTAACTAAAATCTATCTATAGAAAGCTTATGTTGTTTTGGATCGATCTGCATCTCAAAGTAAAAAATGTATCGGCCTAACCTACAAATTGAGATATATACTTAACCAACCTACATTTTTTTAAGCGGTATGATGTTGATTGGTTAAGTAGGTGCTACAAATCCATTGAGTCAATCTAAAAAGATAACAATGCAGTAGATAGTTAAATAATATAAGTTGGTTTAAGGAAATATAATACAAAAATTTTGAGGTATTTGAAACTATTACAATGACATTTGTAGGTTGTAATTATTATTCCATTGCATTCGCAGTTAAGAGATACACCTTCCTTAAGGATAAAAATAAATTTTTTCTAGAGTTCTTAGACTTTTTTTTCATAGTTTCTGGACTGAATTCAAATAAAAATAAGTTTCAAAGTTGAGGGTCTGATTTGAGATTGTAAAAATTTTATTACAAAGTATATTTATACTCTGTCTGGAGAAGAGACATGGAAATCTTACTTATCTCTGATGGAAATTCAAAACTTAAGTAATCCAATCTGAATTATAATTTTTCCAGAAGATATTAAAATATAAACCAACAATCTATAACAGCTAACGATTAATGCATGAAGTGCATCGTCTGATGCTTACTTTTTACAAGATTAATTTAAAAACTTTCTATAGATAATATTGTATTAAAGAAATTTATTTATGTTAGGGGTAGAGATATTATACTATACTAAAAATATTTTGGTTTATAATAATTTGTTATTGTTAATTGCTAATAGAAGTTATACTCATGAGGAACGTAATGTTTTTTAATGAATAATATTAATTGGTATATTATAAAATTTGTAGAAAAATCAGATTATCTATACAAGATCCCTACATTATTATTAATTTGACTCCTGAACTCTTCTTTAGGTTCTAGCGAGTTTAATGCCACAGTTAGCCTGATGGCATGTAAATAGGTAAGTTAAAGCTTTCTTAACTAAGAGTATTCTATCAAATTCCAGGATTCATTCATATGGTATGAATTATTGTGTCAAGTTACTTGAGAATTGATAGTAATGGTTTATTAAAACATCAGAAAAAATAGAACAAGTTTTTCTTTCGAGTTTCAAAATTCATTAGATGTTTTAGTAGAATTTTTTTTTCTCGAAAGTAGTTTCATTGCCAAGTGAAATTTATCAGAAATACAGAGTTTATCAACTAAAATTTCTATTATGCAAAAAAATACGGATGCCATCATGCCTATCAGTAAAATCAACAAATGAGGCGCAAATTCGTAAATATTGATGCTGGACGCGCTGAGAATATCCTTCCTACATTTGGGTTTTTTATACGACCATCTAGAAATATGCCGGTGTCTGATGCCAACTTCTGAGATTTTTGTCAATCTAAAACACATGTATGATTATCATGTATGCATGGAATAAAAGCATTTACCTTGAGACAATGCAACTTGAGTTGATAATTACCCAACTCTTGCGAGTTCCACTATTGAACTATTTAAGGTCACAGCAAAGGACGTAAATGTCGGTCTCGCCAGGTTAACCTGTAAATGTTTTATATCGATGTGTTAGTTACTCTATTTGTACATTTAAATACATTGTATGAAGCATAATTCAATTACTTCCATAAGCTCACAAATCTCACGATTGTCGTAATCTTTATCAATAATCGGATAAGCAATAGCTGGATGAGTATGGTAGGCAAAACCTTCATGTTAATATGAAAAAATCAAAATTAATAGTATAATTATATAGAAAAATTTTTTTTCATGACATATCAATCAAACCTCCTTTTTTCACAAGTTGCATCCCGTTATCGGGATTCATGTACCAGTCAGCTGGTGCCAATTTAGACCAATAATTTTCGTAGAACATTCTAGTGTCCCAGTCAGGTTTCTGCAATTTTACAAATATGTGCGTTATTATATTCACACAAAAATCTGGCTCAATTGATGAAGTAACTTACTTTGAGAAAAAACTCTAAATAAACCATTGCTTCCGAAGCCATTTTCAGATTTATTTGACCTAATTGGTTCAACGAGTCGTTGATCTTGAAAATCGGCTCGTCCAGTCGAGCAGAGACTATTGAAGCTGAATAATAATTATAAAGCAGGTACGAAAACACCAAGATAGTCATGAAAGCCATTCGAGTCGATGCTTGATCCATTCGTACGTCGGTACCTGAGATAAATGCATTCAACTTTTTTTGTTGCAAAGACGTAGGTTTTGAGTAACTGATAAAATAACCTTGTTGACAAATCGATCCAATTGTAATGAGGATTGAATTTGAATATATTTCTAAACTACTGTTGAATTTTTCTTTGTGTAGAACAAGAACCAACACCGCAATGATGGAAATAAAAAATAATATGGTCAAGCACCATATGTCGTTGGTAAAAGGTCGTAGGATTTCTTGAATTTTAATATTTGTTGGTTGAGGATTTCGAAATATAAAACAAGTCCTTAAAAATTATAGCAACTCATCATGTATAAAGTAAATAAAATATTTTCATGTACTCTTTGGATCTGTTTAAGTAAAAATAAAGCCACTCGTAGTTTACAAAAAAATTTTTTTCATTTGAATAAGTTTATAGTGTTAATAGTGGAATTTTTACGTTTCAAGAATTTTTTTACTTAAAAATCTAGAATGACACTGTTTTTACTTTAACAGAATATCAACGAAGTGTTATCACCGAAACGGCCAGTCCTGATGAACAAATTTTATAATGTAAGTCCTTCCTAAGTTTATGGTAAATGGACTACCATTAAAATCTATGGAATTGTTGACCAAGGCATGTTCCAAAGGGCCTTTTGGGTCTCCAGCTAACCATTCCGATGATTCGAGATATTCAAGACTATAAAAGACTAGATTAACTTGATATTTAGGACGTTTTTATCAATTTTTATAAAATGTACTTGACAAGTTTTCAAACTTACGAAAAATTGTATAATTCTGAGAGGTGCTTAACAATGTGATATCCATATTTTGATTGACCATCTAAAGTAGCGTGAGAAAAGTCGTCAAGATAGTCTTCGAGTCCAACATTATCTGATCTATATAGAGTCTGTTGATTCAACATAGTATTTCTGTTATTAACTTATAATGTATTTTTTGTAACATTTAAATTCAGGCTCACCTTAAAAAACATAGTTTTTAATGAAAATCCACCTAAATTGGATCGTCTATTGAACTTTGAACCCTGGACGAGGCTAATACCATCTCTTTTGTTCCAAGTGCCAAGAAATAAAACTTTTAGAACCCCACCGCGTTCCTTAGATTGATTATAAATGTCATATAAAGTATAACTTTCTGTGTCTTTCGAAAACTCTGCCACTACTACATCCGTCGAAAGACCAAATGCTCGATCATCTATGACCTTCAGGACACTCGAGACATTGGAAAAAATTAGCCAATAATGCAGTTCTCCAAACAATCTATTCTCTGAAGCCTATGTGAAAAGCGAAAATAATGTATTTACATTGAATGTTTAAAAATTACAAATTTCATATTTTGTTGATCTTACGTCGAAAAATAATGATGTTATACTTTCATCATCAAAGCATCTAAAATCTAAAAAAATTCCTATTTTCCAGTAACTACTTTTACCTAACAGATGAATATTGGATTCCTTGTGTAATCCGTTTAAAGTTGATGATATACCATTTTGGCTAAAGTCCTTTATTAGTGACAAATTTTCTATGAAATAGTGCAATGTGTTAATCAACAAAGTTAAAGTGAGAATTCAAGTAAAAAATTGTTTTAAATTTCACATTCAATTTGAAATAAACAATAGATTATTCACCAGTGCCAGTGTAACAGGAAAATCCAATTACACTCGGAGTTTTTTTAAAATTGAAATAATCTGTGATGAAATGATTTTGAACATCACTGTAAGCTACTACTAGCAAAAAGTAGTAAAATATTCCAAAACGTGACATAATGTTAAAAAGGAAGTAAAAGTTTATTTAGTGTAATACTATTAATTTAAAAGCAAACGAAGAAAAGTAAACATTGGCTCAACATTTCCGTGTATTGACTAAAAATACGTAGTAAAACATCGCGTGACTGCCCTCAGTTGTGCTACAACGTAGGACGCCTGAGAAGTTATGTATTATTTACATCGTATCTTATTATTCAAGATCGTTTGTTGTAATCAAATTAACCTACTTAAATGATCAATAATATACAAAATTTAAGCTGAAGATACAGCGTGAGTATAATAGATGCGGTCTCATTTTGTATTATAACATAAATAATAAAGTCGATGGCCATGAGTCGACTCAAAAATTTGGCTTTATTGGTGTAAAACTTAATTAAAGACGCAGCTGAAAGAATTCCACGAGACTGTTTTTTTTATTCCATTGCAATTGTTTTTGGAAATAATTTTGCACACAGCTTCCTCACATCACAATATTTACGTCATTGTCCAATAAATGGTACTTATTGAAATGCCAATATCTATCTCCACCTTGATATTAATAGGGCTAAAGCCACATTTAATACTTTACTTTTATAAAATTAGTACTTTCTACATTAGTCATATTTTTCAAACAGAACAATTAATCGTCATCTATACATTATGTTAGGTACTTCTGGGACCTCCCTTGTGTTTAATGGATTACGTAAAAGCAAAGGATCGCGTAAATATGTTTGTGACAAAATAATGAATAATCAGTTATTCGTTTGGTAATAAATCTTCTTTAATCGAAACATTCAGCCTCATAGTAGAGTTCATGTACTATAAGTTGAGATGGTTGCTTGTTGTCTCATAAAAATAATTTATTTCAATATATCTACATAAAGAAATCGAAAAAGCATTTCATCCATCCAATGTGTCAGATGAATCTATTTTCCTCAGAACTAATTTTGTCATGAACTTTAATTTGTCCAGAATATAGTAGTCGGCAACGAACGTTTCTATTACGTAAAAAAAGACAGATGCCATCATGCCTATCAGTAAAATCAACAAATGAGGCGCAAATTCGTAAATATTAATGCTGGACGCGCTGAGAATATCCTTCCTACATTTGGGTTTTTTATACGACCATCTAGAAATATGCCGGTGCCTGATGCCAACTTCTGAGATTTTTGTCAATCTGAAATATATTTGTGGTTATAATATATGCGCACCTGCGATTCAAGTATTCATTGTAACTCATCGTAATTAAAATTGATAGTCACCCAACTCTTGCGAGTTCCACCAATGAACTATTAATGGTCACGGCAAAGGTCGTCAAACAAGGTCTCGCCAAGTGAACCTGTAAATATTTTGTGTTATCATTATACTAATCATGCAATAAAAAGACGTAATGTGCGGCATAATGTATTTACTTCCATGAGTTCGCAAGTCTCGCGATTGCTGTAATCTTTATCGATAATTGGATAACTGATGTCTGGATGAGTATGGTAGGCAAAACCTTTTTGTTAATATATAAAAATAAACATAAGTGGTGTAACTTATGAGAAAAAAATTTTTTTTTTCACGACATATCAATCAAACCTCCTTTTTTCACAAGTTGCATCCCGTTATCGGGATTCATGTACCAGTCAGCTGGTGCCAATTTAGACCAATAATTTTCGTAGAACATTCTAGTGTCCCAGTCAGGTTTCTGCAATTTTACAAATATGTGCGTTATTATATTCACACAAAAATCTGGCTCAATTGATGAAGTAACTTACTTTGAGAAAAAACTCTAAATAAACCATTGCTTCCGAAGCCATTTTCAGATTTATTTGACCTAATTGGTTCAACGAGTCGTTGATCTTGAAAATCGGCTCGTCCAGTCGAGCAGAGACTATTGAAGCTGAATAATAATTATANACAGCAAAACAATTGCTCGAATACATACACCAATTTTCATAAAATATCCTGGTATCCCAGTCTGGAGTCTGTCATTTTATTTTAAAGCGTGTATGTAAATTTTTACAAAAATTCAGATCTAAAACTGTAGCGCGAATCTCACTTACTTTTAGGTAAAAATCCAGATAAATCATAGCTTCTGAAGCCATTTTTAAATTTATTTTACCCAATTGGTTCAACGAGTCGTTGATCTTGAAAATCGGCTCGTCCAGTCGAGCAGAGACTATTGAGGCTGAATAATAATTATAAAATAAATACGAAAATACCAAGATAGATATGAAAGCCATTCGAGTTGACGCGTGATCCATTTGTACGTCGGTGCCTGAGAAAAATGCATTTAATTTTTCGTGTAAAAAAAAAAAAAACAGTTTTTACTAGATAACTAATAACCTTGTTGGCAAATCGATCCAATTGTAATAAGAACTGAGTTTGAATATATTTCAAAACTACTGTTGAATTTTTCTTTGTGTAGAACGAGGACTAGTACCGCAATGATGAAAATAAAAATTGATATTGTCATGTACCATACGTTATTCGTGAAAGGCCGTAGAATTTCTTGAATTTTAATATTATTTGGCTGAGGATTCCGGAAGATAAAACAAGTGCTGTTGAAAAAGATAGTAACTTGTGCTGATAACATAATAATAACTTTCATGTTGAAGTAGTTCTGTCGGTACCTTACTAGTCAAGTATCTAACACTGTTTATAGCACAGAAGTAAATTTAAAAAATTATGAAAGTGTAAAAATGGGAAATTTTTTTACATTATATTGGTTATGTATATCTTATAAATAGGTAGATAAAGTTTCAAGTCTAAGTGCAAGTGAAGAAATTTCGAGGTTTTTTAAACTTCACTTCTATTACCTATACTTAATGGATACATCCAAGTTCTTAAACTATTTCATAAATATTTTTTCAAATTTAAAAGGTAGATTTGTTTTATAAATATGATTTTCTATGTGCACCCTTGATTGACATAATAAAAGATGTATCGATAACTTTTTTCTAGACACCAATGCGCCAAAAAACATTTACTGGCTTATTTTTTTGTCAAAGCTTACGAGATTGTAAAGTTTTGTCGGTATTTGAATATCAATTGGTGTGGGATAACGATTACCGATGGTACTTTCATTAAAAAATCGCAAGCAAGTTTAATCACCGAAATGGCCAATCCTGATGCACAAATCTCACGAGATGAGTTCTCACAATATTCATGGTAAACGGAGTGCCACTAAAATCTATTGAACTGTTAAACAAAGCTTGTACCAAAGGACCATTGGGGTCTCCAGCTAACCATTCTGGTGATTCGAGATATTCCAATCTATTAATAACCAAATTATTTTTTTAAATTATATACCTTAAGGTGACATTTATTAGGTTTTTATCATTTGTTACAGTATAGACTAAACAAGTTTGTGAACTTACGAAAAATTGTATAATTCCGAGAGGTGCTTTATTATGTGATATCCATATTTTGACCTTCCATCTAAAGTAGCGTGAGAAAAATCATCGAGATAGTCTTCCAGAGCAACATCATTCGATTTATATAAACTCTGTAGAAAAAAAAGAGCGTTGCTGTCATTTCGTTGCAGTTATCTTTATTTTTTCAATTTTTAAATTTAGGCTCACCTTAAAAAACATTGTCTTTAACGAAAATCCTCCTAAATTGGATCGTCTATTGAACTTTGAACTCTGGACGAGGCTAATACCATCTCTTTTGTTCCAAGTGCCAAGAAATAAAACTTTTAGAACCCCACCGCGTTCCTTAGATTGATTATAAATGTCATATAAAGTATAACTTTCTGTGTCTTTCGAAAACTCTGCCACTACTACATCCGTCGAAAGACCAAATGCTCGATCATCTATGACCTTCAGGACACTCGAGACATTGGAAAAAATTAGCCAATAATGCAGTTCTCCAAACAATCTATTCTCTGAAGCCTATGTGAAAAGCGAAAATAATGTATTTACATTGAATGTTTAAAAATTACAAATTTCATATTTTGTTGATCTTACGTCGAAAAATAATGATGTTATACTTTCATCATCAAAGCATCTAAAATCTAAAAAAATTCCTATTTTCCAGTAACTACTTTTACCTAACAGATGAATATTGGATTCCTTGTGTAATCCGTTTAAAGTTGATGATATACCATTTTGGCTAAAGTCCTTTATTAGTGACAAATTTTCTATCAAACAGTATTATGTGTAAATGATACAATCAATGAATAAAATAGGAATTTTAGAGTGATAAATTCAACTAAATTTTTTTTTTTTAATTTATC